GTTTCTAAATCCATTCATTGTGCAAAAGTTAGATGTCAAAATGAACATTAACTATTTTAATTTTTTAGTGTCAGGAAAAAAAAAAACAGAAAACAAACAGAAAATTACATAAGTCTTAAAAACTACTTATAATATCACATTTTTTCAATATTTACTCTGTCCACTCTTTGCCTCTATGACAGCTTCCATTCTTAGGAGACTTGCTTTCAAGTTTTCAAAGAAATCTGCAGGGATATTTTTCCACACCTCCAAAGTTCAGTCTTTGAAGTTGGTTGCATTTTCTCCTTCTCGAGCTCCAAGTAACCCCAAACACATTCAGTGATATTGGGGTCTGGACTCTGGGGTGGTCAGTCCATTGTTCTGACAACACCAGCAACTTTTTCTTTGTAAATGTTCTTACTTTTATCTATTTCCTTTTTCTCAGTGAGGCTTCTTGACAGCTACACATCCTTTTTGACTCATAGTGTTGAGTCGTCGGCTCACAGTAGAAGGATGAACAGAAACACCTTTGGATTTTTTCAAATCTGAATCAAGAGTGGATCTTGATTTTCTCCTCTCTCTCAAAGATGAAAGCTTTAAGTATTGTTTATCTGATGGGGACAGTTTTGGTGGTCTACCAGCTCTTGCACGGTTGTCAAAAGTCCCACTTTCTCTGTACCTTTTAGTATCTTTTTGAACTCTAATTTTGGAAACTCCTGTTTGTCAGTCATTTTCCTTTGACTTTCCCCTTCCTTATGCAAGTGGATTATCTTATATCTAATCTCGTTAGAAATATCTCATGAAAAATAAATAACCCCTATCACCACCACTGTAAACAAAATCTGAGTAGCTAAGTTTCTCATGTCAAAACCACTCTAAATCACTTTGTTTACATCTCAGTTTCCCTTTAAAAACTGACACCATCCAGAATGAAGAGCTGAAGCAGTACACTTTTTTGCCTTCTCTTCCTTGGGTCACAACATGGAAGGTCACTCCCTGTTAGCACAGCCATTTGAAGTTCCTAAAGAACACATAGAACCATAGATACATAATATCTCTGCTGGTCCAAACAGACCCATATGATTTGGTGGCAATATTTCATTAAAAAACCAAAAACCTGGCAATATTTCATTAGCTAACTAAAGGATCCTTTCTTTTTTGCATCTACCCTTGGATTTAAGATGTGAAATATGGTTCAATGGAGGATTGCATGTATTTTTTCCTTTGTTTGTGACACAAACTCTAAACCGGCATCCATATTTCATCCATTTCGGTGATCATCTTGCATCCATTTGGCATTCAGCTAACAGCTTTCCCTCTCATGCTGACACTCCAGTTTATTCACAGGCTTAGCCACTGATCCATCTTTCAGGAACAGCTTCAAAAGGTCAGATACCTTCTGCCTTTTCAGATGATTAGAGCTGATTAGATATGGTAGGATTTTGCCTTCCAGTTAAAAGGAGGCCCTGATTCAATTTAAAAGCAAAACAGTAGAGTAGAGAATGTTAACATCAACATACTTCAACTGAGGCCTTCAATAAAAACCAAGCATGCCAAGCAGGGGAACCTTGGGAAGATTCAAAGTTGAAAAACAGAAAGAATCCACCTTATTATACCGTCTGAAAGCACTGAGAAAGAGGTAAAATGTGCAAGAAGATTCTAGTTAGAGGTCACTTCTGATTATGAATACATTTTAATTAGGCACTTTGACAAATACAGTACAAGTGTACTCTGGTCCATGAAGGGTTAGGATGTGGTTGGATAATGAAAATGTTCAGTGAGTTCTGTTTAGCATTTACAAAGGAGAAAAACAACAGCTATTAAGTCATTGACCTTTGGATTATGGAGCGCAAAGGCTGGACAAATGACGAGCTAAATCTTAGGCAGCAATATTATATTCAAAGGGCGCCACACTGTGAACTTTCTGGTGAACTTTACAGGCAATACGATCCATGAGAATGTAAACAAGTGTACATTTATTTTCCTCAGAAACAGCATAGGAATGGCACATCCTGAATTTCACAGTTAATTGGATTCAGACATTGCTTGTTTATGCAACAGCACACATGTAGCTACAGCTATTGGCCACCTAAATGAACGCAGCACTGGCAGGAAAGGCAGGGTGTCATTCTACAAACCAATTGACACAAACATCATTAGACTACAATACTGCAATTTTCTATCAACTGACATTAAGCTTCCTAAGAAATGAAGTTTACTACAACAAGCAGCTAACAATTAGTAGGCACAGTGGGACTGAACAATGAATAGGAAATGGCAGTTTTGTGTAAATCTCCAATGGTATTCAATGGCAACACTCCAACTAGAAATCAATATGTATGCATATACACATATGAACCTATACAACCTGCAAAAATAGAAAGAAGCACCACATGAAAGGAGAACGTTAGAATAAATCCAGAAGATTAAGCTCTAGAGAGACACAGCAGCAGATTAGGAGAAGGAAACTGCTAATACTCTAGTGGAGTTGAACCACAGCTTACAGGTATCTGAATAGAAGGCACAACCATGTGAATTCACTGTTAATACTGCTAACGTGGTAACATTAATCATACTGTTCACCGTCATATTCTTCATCGAAAAAGGCATAAAAAGTTTTGGCAACAAACATCAACCACAAACAATGATGAAGAGAAGTCAAAAAGGATACACAGTACATTCATTTTACTAGGCAGGCAGATTTTCTGAACGGTGTGCCGCCTCCTTCATTAAAAATCGAGCAGCGTTTTGTTTTCATTTGAATGCTACAGTAAGTTAACACTGAAATAGTCTAAAAAATGCACTTGAAATTATCAAGGAAGGCATGGAAAGAGCCACCACAAAGAACGTGTTGTTTAAAACTGGCAAGGAGAGAAGACGTGAGGCCAGGATAATAGTATATCCTCATTAGCAAGTGTTATGATGTAGCTGATGAATTAACACCTGTAAAACATTTGATTTGAATACAGTACCATAGTGCTGCTCAGATACACAGATCCAGTTAGTTTCTTCACAAAGTTTCCACTTACTTTGATTTTAGGCATTATAACTGGCTTTAATAGCAACGTTTAAGGGTAAAAAAGCAAGACATGGGAAGGCCAGGCAGATTTCCAGTTCATTTGAGCTGTTTACAAATGCGATGCACATTATCGCGTGAAAGATGTGTGAAAATCTACCAATGTGCTACCACAAGCTGCCAGGAGTAAAGATAAAAAATGTTTTCAGTCTGTTAATTAGCATCTAACATGACTCAAGCCAAGTTTTGTTTGTAATTGGGATCCAAGACTTGATTACAGCTTTTGGAGGAAAGGTGGTACAATATCTGCACTACAAACAATGACATCTTGGCAAGTGAGATCACCTTAAATTTAGTAATGGATGGCAAACTGGTTGAGACTCTTCTTCAGGTATGAGTTTTGTCATGCAATGCCCAAACAGTGCAAGTCAGGTGGTTTTTCTTGTCATTCTTCAATATAACTTATAAACACTGGATCGTTCTTCAGGCCCCACAAGAGCAGTACATTACACAGGACTAAACATGCTAAAAACATGCTAACGACTGCTACGCTTCCTTTCTGGCCACCTGACTTGGTCAGCTGTATCAGACTCAGACTGTGGTTTCAGGGCTGTGGACCTGATGGTACTGAAGCATGAATTACTGTCATATTTTCCTAATTCCAGCAGTTTCTGCTGGTCAGAGACATGAGCATATGGGATGTATATATAAGAAAAATGACCTTAGCGAAGATGAAGTTGGCTTCTTATTCAAAATTCCCGATCCACCTTAAATAGTGCAGCAGTTGGGCACCTGCGCAGGTGCCAGAATGTAACTGCTGCTCTGTTTAAGGTGGAATGGAAAATTCAAACAAAAAACTGTTGAATAAGGAGCGCCTTCTAGAAATTAAACAACACTTAGCACCATTTTTGCCAGGCCTAGTGGTAGAAAGCAATACTTACATAGTTTATTTATATACTGTCCAGTTTTGTTTGGACTATTTCACAAATTAGAGATATTTCAGATTTACTTTGGTGGTTAAAAATAGTTATTATTAAAAAATTGAGGGACATCCAAGAATAATAGGCCATTGTTAACCTACAAAACTAGGTTTACTTCAGCATGTTTATTCTCTCTTATGCTCTCTTGAGCGGTTTTATTTTAAAATACATCTGACGTGATGTATACTGAAACTACATAATTTTAATTATGCCGTGCTATGAACCAGTTAATATATTTAATATTTCTAATTTTCAAATTGTTGTAAGAGCATTAGAAGATTATTGAACTTACTTCTATTAGAAGTCTGCTATTTCATCAAACCTGACAAAATATTGGGTTTTGGGCCAGTTAGGGCTGATTTTTGTGAAACACTTTTGAAAAATCTTACAATATTAATCTCATAATGAGAAATATCAGATATTACAACTCTATTCAAGATATTTTCACTTGCAAAGATGTCATTTTTTGCAGTGTACTGGCATTTGAATGAAAAAACAGGGCATCACTCAACATTCTTCCATGAGAACTCCCATGACCAGTCTACTTCTCTAACCCACAGTGTGATTCATTTGGGTGAAACGTATTGTGGATCGCTGGGCAGCTAGAATAAGGATAGAATTCCTTACTAAAATGCAAAAGGCTTGAAAGTGTTAATGTTTTCTTTAGCTTGTTAAGTGCCCATAGTTGAGAGGAGAGCAGCATGTATGATGCCTTTTTGTTCGGAATAACAAAATACTTCATAGTCTGTTACATCTGACTAGCCTGTAAAAATTTGTTTGTTTTATAAATATCGATAAGACAATAAACGTTATTCATAATATCAATGAGAAGTAAAAGCAAAATGCCAACTGTAAATTAGACAAACTAGAACAACTCTTGTTACAAACTTACTGTTACAGTCACATATATACAAATAACAGTTATAATCAGAGGTTATGACAACCTTATGACATGAGTAATGCCATCTTCTAGTCAAAAACACACAAATACCGGTACAAAAATATATAATACAAAAAGTGTTCTCCTCTTACAAAACATTGACATCAAACCTAGCTCTCCTATAGAATGTGCAAATGCAGGCAACAGAACATGTCCTTTGCTACCAAGTCAAATATGTGGAGAGAGCATTTGTAAAAAGCCTTTCTGGCTTCAACTGTCCAACATGGTAATTAAACACTGCATCCTCAGCTCTCTGGCCAGCCAGTGAGGCAACATGACATTATGGCCAAGTTGGATGACTGTCATGTACAGGGTCCTGAGTCAGGCGGGATGCTTTTGGAACAGTACAAGGCGTTTAAGTGTTTAAATCCTAAGCTCAGCCTCTTCACTGTGCTCAACAGAGTGTTCAGTCGTGCTGATAATGGAGGCAGATGGGCCTTGGCTGACCCCAAAAGGGGAGATGGCTGGGGAACGGGCAGCAAGTGGGGAGAGGGAAGGAGAGAAACTGGGAGACATGGCTATTGAGGAGACAGAGCCATCGTGGCTGATGGGAGATCGTTTTAAAGAGGATAGGTGGGGAAGAGTTCGTCCAACAGCAGGTTTTGGAAGTACAGTTTTAGCTCCAGGGTGAGCTACAGAGGTTATAAGAGGAGGGGGGTCAATTCTAGGTTTGGGATCGGCCTTCAGTTTGGGCTGAAAAGGCCGGCGCGTGTTAACTGGGGCGTTCTCGTCCTTTAACCGGGCGATTTCTGTAAATACGTTCGCCAGCGGCTGGAACTGAGGGCACCAGTTAAGGAGGTAGTCCCAGTTGTAGCTGCCCCTCAGTTCCTCATCGCTAGCCACGATTGCGGTCAGAGAGCCATCCACCATAGGTTTCCCATCCTCTGGGAAAGTGTAGTCTTTAGACTGTGAGATATTAAGCCCTCTTCCTACCCCAAGATATCCACCACCTTCATCTCGGTACACTGGGGTCTGGCCTGCCAAGAGAGTCCCACTCAAGCTTCCCATCTTCTTTCCTTTAAACCACTGGTTCATCTCTATTCCAGGTTCGCCAGAGATGTCAGAGAGCTGGTCAGCATCTTGCTGGATCCCAGAGTCAGGTCCACGGGCAGCTATGTGCTCCTGCATGGAGGAGGAAATGCTGGAGACACGTGGATATTCGTTGATCATGCGGATCTCATCATCCTCTGCCGCCTCTGCCTCAGCTGAGCCTCGTCCACTGGAATGGGAAGGGTCCAGTGATCCCCCTCGAGTGTAGGGCCCTCCTCCACCCCCACTCTGGTCTGCAGCATATCCAGGAAGAGTTTGGTGATAGAGTTTCTCACTTCCATGAACTTTGGGCTCATCAAGAGTCTCCAGTACCGTGCCAGAGGTCACGATTCTAGCATGAGCCTCTTGGTACTTCTTCCTTCGGGATCGCAATAGGAAAAGCACGCCCCACGATTATGATCAAGACCACTATAGCTGCTAAGGAAGCAGCGATGACACTAGCCAGCAGCATATTCATGTCAGAAGTTAAACCAAAGGACGTGTGTGTGACGTCAATGGTAAGCTGGGCAGTGGCTACACGGGAGCTTTCCAACGGGCTGTGAGCTATCACTTCCAGAGTCATCTGACGAGTTTCCCGCTTAGAGCGACTTGTGTGCCGGCCATAGGCATCCATCTTCAGGGAGATGACCCCTGTGGAGATGTTGACCTCAAAGTATGGGGAACTTTCAGACAGAGTGTAAAGTACAATCCCGTCTACACCTCCATCCTCATCATTGGCAATAACTTGGCCAATGCTCTGCCCCTTCTTCGCTCCCTCAGGGACATGGAAGGCAAAGTGTGAGCTGGTGAAAACAGGGTCATACTCATCCTCCCCAGTCACATAGACCTGAACTGTAGCAGTTGCTGAGTAGTTGCCTGCATCCACTGCCACGGCAATAAAGTGAAACAAGTTCATTTTCTCAAAGTCAAAACTGTAGCGTGTTCTGACTTCGCCAGAGGTCTGATTGACCACAAATGACTCTTTGCCATTTCCTGATTTATCCATCATGTAATACCTCAGCTGGCCAAATGCACCAGCATCGTGATCAATGGCATGCAGCATAGTGACGAGGGCATTCTGAGGCCGGTTTTCACGAATGCTTGCTGTCAGCGTTTTAAGAGGAAAGAAAGGGCGATTGTCATTGATGTCCTTGACCTCTACGGTAACAGGAACAAGAGCAAAGTGGCCCTGACCATCAGAGGCTTGCACGATGAGTGTATGAGTGGAGCACCACTCACTATCCAAAGACCTCCGCAGACGAAGCGCGCCACTCGTCTGGTCCAAAAAGAAGAGTTCACTCTCATCTCCAGAGCTGATAGAGTACTGCACCTTTCCGTTAGGGGTGGAATCTGGATCCAGAGCAGACAATCGAAGTATTTCCTTACCAGTTTCTGCCCCTTCACTGAGGACAACATTGTACTCTGCCCTACTAAAGGCTGGTGCATTGTCATTGGTATCCATTACCGTGATTAAGACAGGAACACTTGAGCTTTGTTGGGGAACACCACGGTCTGAAGCCACAATAGTAAGGTTGTAGATAGATACAAGTTCAAAATCAAGCCTCTCAGCTAAGATTAGCGTTCCAACTATCTGAAATCCACGGCCCTCGATGAAGCGCACGCTGCTTTCAATCTGGAAGGCATTGCCAATGTTTCCACTTGCAATAGCAAAGTCAAATCCACAGTTGTCCCTGGAAAGGTCTCCATCAATAGCCTCTAGAGTGAGGACAGTAGATCCAGGGAGCTCATCTTCTGATACAGCAGCTCTGTACTCCGTTTGATGGAACACAGGGGCATTATCATTGACATCAGTCACCTGGACTTGCACTGTGGTGAGAGTACTCAGTGGTGGATTTCCACCATCACGAGCCTCAATTACCACCAGGAAGGACGGACGCTCAGAATCAAACTCTGCCTCCTGGTTGATAAACAGTGTACCTGCACAGAGACAAAACATTGAAACATATATGATGAAAAATCAGACATGGTTATGCCCTCAAACCATGCAAATATTTGGGTTTATAACAAACAAATAATAAGTACTTACCATTGCTTGAGTCAATGTAGAACATGTCTCTTGTTGACACGACTCTATATGTAACCTTGCCATTCTCCCCAGAGTCCCGGTCTGTAGCAGTCACAGTGATAACAGAACTACCAGCCGGAGAGTGCTCAGCAAGTGTCGCCTAAAAAGAAAACACAGATTTCTGATTGTTTAAAATGCCACAGACAAAATTTGGAATCTAAATCTACATATTGTGGCAGCTGCCCTTGTGAGAGAAGAAGAGAAGGGTCTGACTGCAGAGCTGCAGAGCTGTAGATTTATACCCGCAGTTTCACTCCAGCGGTTTCAGGCCAGTGGAACACATGCGCAGTAGAATAGTGCGATGGTGCCATGGAAAAGTTCTAATAGGAAAGTTGAGCGTTACAAGTGTTCCCATTCATATTTCAATCAGTTGCCATTCTCCTCATTTATAACATCTCTGATGTAAACAGTGACTGTTTGTGCTGGTTGTATGTGTCACCACGCATATTACCATTCAGGAAGGGAAGGAATATTGCCAGTACACGTCAACCAATGGTAACCGGTTAAACCACAGGCCAAAACACATTACAAAATCATCAGAAACCAAAAGAAACACTTAATGGTTTTATGTGGATTTTTCTCGGCAGGGATACGTTCAAACCAAAGTGTTTGTTTTAGCCTAAAGCTTAAAATATACCATTAACCCAATGCAAATTTATCAACATTTTTTGGAAACCCACATAAAACAACTGAAATGTTGATTAGCCTAAAACTCGCTAAGAAAAAACAAAACAAGTGTCGGTGCATGCACTGAATGCCATTGGCTTGAACCTGCTGGAGTGAAACTGCTGGCATGAAACAGTGGCTCTGCGGCTCTGCAGACAGATATTATTGGACTAGAAGCCTGGTTATACAGATTTCTATTTGAAGAGGCACATGAGAAACGCACGCCCCCTGTAAAAGGGACAATTCACATTGAATATTGTTGTTGTTCCTAGTTTGAACTGTGCATATGTGTTTTATGTTGTGGGTATGGGTTTAGCTACACTGGGTTAGTGCTTGCTTAAAGTTTAGGGCTAGGAGTGACCTGCTTTCATTTCAGTTGTTACTATAGGGGCTTTTTCTGCCCTGTTTGTCAATAAAGAGCATTAATGAGCAGAAATTACGGCTGTACCCGACTTCTCTTCTGATCAGCACTGCAATATATTTGCAAGTTTAGATTATGTCTTTAACTCTATCAAACTATTCTGAGAATTTGGCAATAGCCAATTAAACACTTTCTGTGTGGTGCCATATTTTCTATCACTATATAAAAGATGCACAAGGCTTCCTTTACTGTTGCACTGTATTTTTACTTAACTGTATTTTTATATTTTTATATTAAGTGTTTTAACACTTCATTGTAGATCTATTTAATCTTTTGCGTTTTTTGGCTGAAATTTTCAGCCTTTTTTTCTCTTTTAGCTGAAAACTGAAAATGCATTTTCAACCATTTTCACCGGCTGAAATTTCAGTGTTTCCCTATATTGAGTTTTTGTGACCCTCTAATTGTAATTTCTCCCATTAGCCATACCTGGTAAAGGTCCTGAGTGAAGACTGGGGCATTATCATTTACATCCTCCACCAGAACCGTCAAATTGGCTTCACTCCGGTGCATGGAGTCAGATGTGCTGATGGTCACAGTGTACCACGTCCTCTTCTCATAGTCCAACTGACCGGTCAGAGAGACTCCACCTCCGTAGCGGTGTATTCCAAATTTCCCCTGTGAGTCTGAGTCCAGGTGCAGAGAGTAAAAGAGGGCGGGACCAGAGTCCACATCATTCCCCGTCACCTGGGTGATCACTGTCCCAATCAGTGTGTCTGAAAGAAACCAAACACCCTTTAGATCTGAAAACTGAATTATCATGAGGTCACTTAAAATAATAGAGATTTTACATGAGTATTACAGCTTTCCACCCTTGGGCCGTCATGTCTTTGTGTTTGCTTTTAATTTTCACAATCCTAGGAAAAATATGATACTACATCCTTCTGACAGGATGTGATCACTGAAAGCTTTGGGGTAGAGGCGGTAATTGTAATTGAGTTGATCTTTCAGCACTGTTAGCCTGGCTGTTTGCCCACCGCAGACTAGTGCGGCTAGAGTTCATTGATAACATCAGTGGTATTGAGTTCACCCAGCAGTCAACTCACTCTCAGGGACGCGCACTTCGCGAGGGATTGGGATGGTAGGCCGGTTGTCGTTCAGATCCACTATGATAACGGTGAGAGTGGCAGAGCCTGCTAATCGAGGGCTGCCCCTGTCCGTCGCCATGACAACCAGCCTGAGAACACAAATAAACAACATTAAAAACACGGGCAATTTATGAGGAGACCAGTTCCGCCACAATCATCAGGATGTACAGGTCGGAAATGAACTAATACTTAGTCTCCGTCCAGATTTCTCTGTCCATGATAGCGGCGGTGGAGATGCTGCCCGTGAGAGGGTCAATCTTGAACAGGCCACTCATGGACGACGACCTGATGGAGTAGGTCACCTGGCCGTTCTGACCCTGGTCAAGGTCGTCCGCCAGCACCTGAGGAAATTACCGGTCAAATTTGGAATGAAAATACAGGCGGATTCGCAACAGCTGCTGCAATGTAACTTGAAACTCTGAGCAATATTGGGCTTGGAACGTTCCTTTTTTTAAGGAAGAAAAAATAGAGGGAAATGGTTATGGCTGTGCGGAACAGCTGAGACTATATTTTAATCACGGGTAATGAAAACAATGAAGGGAAAGCCACAGAAACTGTGCAGGCCTGTGTTGAAACTGTTCAGATCTCTTCTATTAAAGGGCATGAGGGGCTTTAGTCCACAACTTCACACTTTTTCAAAAGTCAACTATTATGAAAACATGGGGGGCAAGCTACTGCACCTGAATGATGGGGAAATCGTATCCCTGGGCCTCACGAACATAAGCAACGTAATTGTGGAGCTGGAAGCGTGGCAAGTTGTCATTGACATCTTGCAGGATCAGGTTAACTGCCATGAAAGAACTGGAGGATGCAGTTTCAGCCTTGACCACTAGGCGGAGTCGAGGGGTCTCTTCAAAATCCAGCCCCTTGGAGCTCTCCACCCAGATTTCACCTGAAGAGACATACAAATAAATAACTGCCGAAGTAACAGTGACTGGTATCAGCTGTGTTAATCTATGTTATATAACTGGACAGGCTTTCTCTGGGAAGCTCACTTTATTCAGAACACCTGCAAAATGCTTTGTAAACAGAAGCTACACTCTTACCTGTAGTGGGGCTAATGCTGAAAGACTGTAGCTTGTTGCCACTGAAGATGCTATAGGTGATTCCACTGCGGGAGCCATCAGGATACTGTGCCTGGATCTGCACCACTGCAGTGCCTAAAAGAACCATGAGACAGGTAGTTTGTCACACTACTGGTAGATGTATAGTATTGTGCAAAAGTCCAAGATCACCCTTAATTTATATAATTTCCAGTAAGTACAAGTTTCTCTTTTTTTCATTAGATATTTCTGAGGAGATCAGATATAAGACAATCGACCTGCATAAGGAAGGGGGGAAGTTAGAGGAAAATAAGTGAAAAAACAGAACTTTCCAAAACTGGAGTCTATAAAAGATACAGAGAAAATGAGACTGCCAACAGTGGTTCAAGACCTGGTTGTCCACCAACACTGTCCCCATCAGATAAGCAGCACTTAAAGCTTTGATCTCTGAGAGAGAGGAGAAAATTAAGCTCTACTCTTGATTCAGACCTGAAAAAATCCACAGGTGTTTCTGTCCATCCTTCCAATGTGAGAAGACGACTCAGCGCTATGGCTGCTGGTGTTCTTAGAACAATGGACTGGTCACCTCAGAGTCCTGAGCTCAACATTAGTGAATGTGTTTGTGATTACATGGATTGTGAGAAGCAACTTCTAAGACTGAACTTGAAAGGTAAAATATCACTGTAGATTTTTTTATTGTGTGGTGACACATAAAAATCTTCAGTTTTTAGTATTATATTTCGTTGTTGAAGCTTTTGTGTAATTTTTATTAAATATTTTTGTGGCATGCGTCCTGATGATGACCACGAGAGTCGGCAGGAAGGCGGGGCTCAAACCCTGTTCAAGGAAGAAGACCCGCAAAGACAGGACCAAAGGAGAACCGCGAGTGAGTGGGGGACGATGGGCACCATCACCACCCCCGCTCTCTGGTTCGTTCACCGGGATTGAACATGAGGCAAATTGAAGTGGCCTCAGCCGCAGGACTGGAGGCACAGGGGACAGGCGCATGCCACAATATGTTTCCTGTTTTTACTGATGCTCAAACATGAATAACTTAGTTTTCTTTAATTGCTGTTTTGAATGGAAATGAAATCAATAAAGGGTGGTCTCTAACTTTTGCACAGTACTGTGGATTTCTCACAAATAGTGTGTGACTACATTTTACATACATGTTACACTTCATTTAAAACACCTATACTGTATTCACCAATTTCTCTGAAATCGAGTAACGGTATCAAATACATCTTTAATCCAATGGGAGGATCATGTGACCAGCAAATAATGAATAATTATATATTTCTGTCTTATTCTGTCTTTTGTATGTCTGTCCCAGACTGGAGATACTGTTCTATAATAAATATCACACCTATACTGCTTACATTACAACTAACGAAGCAGAGTGAGCTACACATTCCTATGACTTGAACTCAGCCTAATATGAAGATTTTCAGCTGAACCCAGTTCCTGACCTTTGGCGGCGTTTTCCTGTAGGCTGACATCCTTGGAGTTACGGCTGAAGCGGATTCCCCTGTAGCTCTGCTCCCGTATGTAGACCACTACCACTCCCAGTGAAGACTGTGGTGGGCTTCCCTGGTCCATAGCTTGCACTATCAGCGTCCTTTGGCTTTGGGTCAAACTGTGGAGCTTCTCAGTGGCCTGAATGTCCCCAGTCAGCGAATTTATGGTAAAGCCTTTAACAGGGTTGGCGAAACGATAGAACACTGAACCATTAGCCCCAAAGTCCTTGTCCTCGGCTCTCATGGTAGCCAGCACTCGATGGCTGGCGATGCTGCTGCTGGAGATGTTGATGATAAGTGGGTCTGTGATGAAGAAGGGCGCATTGTCGTTTACATCAAGGATGTGGACGGTCACCTGAGCCGAAGAGTTGTGTGGATTGCCAGCAGAGGAGTCCATAGCGTACACCTGGAAGCTGTAGGACGCGACTTTCTCCCGGTCAAGTGCAGCCGCTGTGATGATGCGACCAGTGTGCTGGTCCACAATAAACATGCCCCTGGACTCTCGGCTCAAAAAGTAGACCACCTGGCCGTTGGAGCCCTCGTCTTGGTCGGTAGCTGTGACCTCCAATACGAAAGAGCCTTCGGGGACATCCTCAGTGATCTCTACTGTGTAGCTGCTGCTGGTAAACACAGGACTGTTGTCATTTAGGTCCAGGACACTGATGTCCAGTGTGACAGTGCTGCTGAGGGCAGGGGTGCCCAGATCATGAGCCTCCACAGTGAGGGTGTACCGGGCTTTCTGCTCCCTGTCCAAAGCCCTGGAAGTGGACAGCACACCCTGATTTGCGGTCCAAGTGAAAGTCACTTGAAGGGTCGCCATCTGAGAAAAGAGAAACATGGATCAAGAGGTATTAGACAGAGATGGCATTATTTAATATGCTGATTCATTATACAAGCCAAGTTTTAATACTGATTGAAAAGTTTCAATACTGACTAAAACATGAGACTAATATGCCAGTCCAGTGCCACTTCACAAGTTTCTCATGCTTGTGTGTTCAGGATGATGAATGAAGCTGTAAATTATTCTAAAATGACTGAGAAAGCTGTATTACACAGAGTTATTAGGACAATCATGCTTATATTTAAACTCTGCAAATATTGTAGTACTACTCATTTTTTATTGTTATGTTTTGGATGGAAAAATAAGAGTTAAAATACTTGAAATGACAAAAGAAATTGTTGACCTATTAACACTTTTTTCTACGTATCTAGGTAGATGTGGCAAGCTAGATTTTGTATCGTTAGGCCTTCAGGAGCTGAACAGAAGGCCTCACACACTATATTAACTACCAGCATAATTAGGAAGTGACAGAGGAATCAACCAATCATTTACAATGAGTGGGATGAATTCTGTAGAATAAACATCTCTCTAGGCCTTCCTAAAGTCCATCACTGACTGTGAACCCGAGTGGGAGTCTAACCAGTTCCAGTTAAATGTTGGGAATGGAAAACAGCAGCAGCTATATGCCAGGACTCTTTATTGAAAGAGTCACTCTAAAACTGTTAAATATTATTAAGATTAATTAAGTGACCCTTATTAGTCCCACAATGGGGAAATTTCACCTCTGCAATCTAACCCATCCGAGCAGTGAAACACCACATACACCGTAGTGAATGCACACACACTAGAGGGCAGTGAGCACACTTGCCCAGGGCGGTGGGCAGCCCTATCCATGGCGCCCGGGGGGGTTAGGACTAAAGGGACTAAAGGGCACTTCAGTCACATACTGTCAGCTTAGGGGATCGAACCGGTGACCTTCCAGTCACAAGGCTGGTTCCCTAACCTCCAACCCACGACTGCCCCAATATATGTTAATATATGCTACAATTGCCAAACAAAACATATTGCATGTCTTTTTTTTCCAAGCTTCAAACGTCCATATTTTATCTAGAACAAAAAATGTTCATGAGCATCAGTGTTAGATTAGTGCTAACATACTATTAGAAACTCCATAGGGTGCTAGCAGAAATTAGCATTATCATAGATGTTTTGAGTTTTAAAAAGTATTGTCCAATTCTAATACTCATGGTTCACCACATGATGTTTTTTATCATTTAATAACTTCTTGTTCCCAAAATAATTGAAATGTTGAACAAAACATTTAAAAATATCTTCTGTTGTCTAGTTTATAACATTTACATAATACATCTATAGTGTATTAGCTATTACTGGATTTACATAACACACACAAAAAAAGCTTTTAACAAAACCAAGCACATGCACTGTCAATTCCCACGGGCATACACATACCACAAAGCTTTACAACCCCAACAATGCTTATAAACATACTATCACTGCACTAAAGCTTGCGCTAACTGGCCAGTAGCTCTTACCTGTGATTTTGTATTGCACCAGCCCACTGTCACCTGAGTCCAGGTCGGTTGCTCTTAGGGTGAACAGGGTCACTGGCTCCAGGTTCTCAGGCACCTCCAGGCTGTAATACACCCTCCCAAAGCCTGGCCTGTTGTCATTCTCGTCCAGCACCGTGATACGCACTGTGGCCTTGGCAAAATTAGGTGGAAAACCACCATCTTTTGCATAAACTGTTTAAAAGGCAGAGGGTAACAGAAGGTTTTTTTTCCCATCATATGAAAGAAATAGATACCAGCACTACCATTTCCTGCAGCAGCTCATGTCAGTGCTGTTATGACATTAAATTGGCACTGTTGAACACATTTGTATTTATAAACTAAGCAATTACATGCTCGCTTGGCAGCTGGTAAGAGAAGAGCCAGATTTCTTTTTCTCATACATATTACAACAAGCAAGCTATTTGCTGTTGGCATGAGTACCTGTCACAGTGTAATCCTCCTGGGCTTCCCTGTCCAGGGCTTTGGTGGTTACTATAACACCTGTCACTGGATGGATGCTGAAGTCGTCCGCTGTCATGCCACCATATGTCACAGCACCATTGCTCCCTATGGAAAATCACACTTATGTAATTCATACAGGACTTGCACTATCCTTGTCCTTCACTGCTAACTCTACACGGTATCTATACAAAATTAGCCACATCTGTAACAGGACGAAAATAGCCATCACTCTCTCACTCTCATTGTGTACACAATGCACAATTGGCTTTTCTCACGGAACGGGTAAACACATGCGGTGTGCTCGCTTTTTTATTTGTTTGTAGTTTATTTTGCTGTCTAAGCAGTTGGCTGTGGCGGCCCTCCCCCTGCTGTTTGGATGCCAGATTGCGTGCTAACGGCGAACAGTCTGGCATAGCATCACCTGTTTTCCCCACTAATTGCTCCTGGGGAGTCAGTTTATAATCCTTCTGTTTTATGTGCTCCTGAGTAAGGCCAGGAGAATGTGGCCCTCCCCGAGAACCACCAGCAATTAAAACCACTCGTGTTCATGATGTGTTTAGCTTGAGCAAGCACGACAAGGATGCAGGAGGAAAATGACACTCATAAACAAACATGCTTATCTTTAATTTAATGGCTTGATGGAGGTACAATGAACCTCCAAGGTGGAGAGAAAGACAGAGAGTAGCTGAGCACAGTACTTTAACAGAAAGTGCAGGATAAGTCAGTGTGGGAATGGAAAAATATACAGTACTGTGCAAATATCCACCTATTCATTTAACTCCCAGTAAATGCAAGTTAATAACGCTTTATTATCTGAAAAAGACTCCCTAAAACTGCTACATATAAAGTTAAATATATGTTAACATCTGTTGCAACTGTCAACTGTCAAACAAAACATACAGCATGTCTTTTACAAGCTTCAATGTTAGGCTTCAGGTATAGCATACGTCTCACCTTGGTCCAAGTCCGAAGCTGACACAACCAGCACAGTGGCTCCTGCAGGCTGGTTTCTCAGTAACAAAGGCCTCATATATGTTCTCTTCGAAGTACGGCACTTCATCATTCACGTCAATCACCTGCACGGTCAGTAGCTGAGCGCTGGACTGTTGGGGGACACCGTGATCCTCCGCTACTATGGTCAGGTTGAACTGGGCCAGCTCCTCACGATCAATGGGCTTGAGGATAGACAAGGATCCTGTTGCAGAGAGTTATTAGCCAAGAGGTTCATAAAATATATAACAGTTTTAATAGGATTTTTGTTTTCATTAGTTTGAATAGGATTAGAGATTTCATTAGTCAATAATGTTGTTTTTTGCCACTTGTAACAAAAACATTTCTTCACTGAACACAGCCGTTTAAAGCTGGCTTCTAATTATGCGCCAGCACGCATGATGTTTACACACGCACGCACATTCACGGTTGCTGGGTCTACATTAGCTGCTTGCATGCGATTATCCCTGCCACATTCATAAAGTTAAGAGTGCCCAGGGTGAGCCAACGCCTCTCTGTGGTGAAAAAAACGAGGTGAGAAGCAAAGGCGGGAGAGTAGAACGGTGGGATGGGTGAACAAGAAGAGGAAAAACATTTCCCATGTCGAGCTCTCCCTACCTGAACGCAAATTATTTATCCACCATAACAGCCCAAACTATCTGCCCACAGTTTATGAGTTCTTTCCACAGTGAGTGCAGCGCTGGGAGGGAACAAGCAAACAAAAGCTTCAGACACGCAACAGCCCTGCCTGCCGTGCCCTGCCGAAATTAGAGCTGCCCTCCTCATCTCCGACCCCCTCCCCAAAAACCCCAGCTGAACACGAAAGCTCATTGATCTGATCTCCATTTCACGCTTTTACACAACCCACCACACCCGTTCAGCTGGGCAGCAAAGGCACGGGATCAGGGTCACTGCAGGCTGTTTTGGTTCTGGTTCTTATTTCGGCCTCTCTTCTATCTCCCTAGCACTCGGCTAACGTGCCCCTCAGCCCTTAATCTGGTTAGAATTACCAGCTCAAGCACTTGCAGCCTCTGCGACTCCTTGACAATCCCTCTCAGAGGAAAGGCAGAGCTATTGTGGGCTGCCCCCTTTAACTGGTGTAGTTTAGTGAATATTCAAATTCACACATTTTCCTACTTTACTACAGGGCAGAGTTCTTAAAGCAACATGACACCTACCTAAGACCTTCAGGACAGCTGACATAAATCTACATAAACAGTTATAAACGCTTATTGCAATAAGTGTAATTTGTTATTAAGGTAGCTTTTGCCAACTTTGATGTCAAGTTGACATAACATCTGTATCAGGCGACATGACGTTCACATGTCGCCTTAGGAGAGTTCAAGTCGAGTTTCGAGTTTTTAGTAGAGAATTTCAGTCTTGCTATTAGCTGCACCTGTCAGGTTCGACAAGGCTTTGAATAATGAGCCTTATATTGGAGAACAACCTTCAGTCTGAAGGACAGAATGAAAGTGATACATGCAATAAATACAGAGCTTAAAATTGAAGTGCAAAACAACTTGAAATAATCAGTTTATGATATGATAATGATAATAGTAATAATAACAGTCTTTATTCATATAGCTCCTTTCGTTTTGAGTCCAAAATCTCAAGGAGCTATACACTAAAAAGCTAAATTAGCTATTGCTAGTTTCACGTTTTTCCTTTAAGCACCGTATTTACTGCCTGCAGCACTCCATTCTGCCCAAAGGCTCATTATTTGAAGCTGTATCAAACTGGATGCCACTGCGAGCTGTGAGGGGAATGACATTACTGTATTTACTGCTGTTTACCTTTCCCTATTTAAGCCTCCATGCCGTGGTCACAATGACCAGCTCCAGGGCCAGAGTGAGTTGAACCTTCCCGCCGCTCTGGGCTAATACCCACATTTTGGCCCTCTCCCATTTCCAATAGGATGTGTTAGACTGGAATGTTGGTGAAGTTCTTATGTGGCATTTATTGTAGATTTAAAAAAAAGGAGGGAGAGCATTTTACATTGCGGCAGTGACTACAACTGGCGAGGTAATAACACAGTTTCACTAAAATGCCCATAATGCAAAGCCTTAAACCCCAACACACAAAATCGCACGAAAGGTTGGAAATGAAAGGTATTAGTTGTTTACTGCATTTGTGATTGGCAGACCGGATTCAATCAGTGAGATCCATACTTTTTTCCCTCTGGCTGAAATTTTGAAGACTTAAGTCCCGAGTCGTGAGTCAGTGAAGCGTGCGTCCGAGTCGAGGACTGAGTAAAGACATGCTTACAAAGTTGGATGTTATGAAATGCAATCATTTTGTATGATTTCACTGATAATCATTTCGTTCAAAGCTGTGTCATGACAAAAATCACCTGACGTAGGTGTAGATCTCAACTTTACATCAGAACTGATGAAAGCAGCCTTTGACAGACAATGGCTATTAAAATATATACATGTATGAATGTTTATAAATGTTTATGTAGGTTTATGAAAGTTTAAAACTTATGCAGTTGTGCATGAACACTGCCATAGAGCAACGTGTTACCCAATCATTTGGAAATTACAAACTTAAAAAATATGGTTCTTTAACAAAGAAAATGGCTCTGTAAAACATGAACATGCAAAGAACCATTTGCATCATGAAAGGGTTCTTCAGATTGATGGAGAATGTGCTGAAGATGGTTCTACAGCACCAGGGTTCTATATAGGGTTCCCCTATTGTTACAAGCTTGACATTGTCACAATAGAGGAACGCTTTTTGGTGCTATATAGAACCCTTTCAAAAAGGTCCTATATTAAACCATCTACAGCATATTCTCCATCAATCTGAAGAACGCTTTCACAATGCAAAGAACCTTTTAATTATGCACAGGGTTCTTCAAGTGTTCATGGTTCTATATGGAACCATTTTCTATGGAACCCTTGAAGAACCATCTTTTTAAGAGTGTACATAACAATTCTGTGTAATTTGAGGCAAGTGTGTGATTTAGACAGACAATGGCTATTGAAATGTATAAATTTAGAAATGTTTATGGATGTTTATGTTTATGTGATTAAGCGGTTCTTTTCATCATGAAAGCGTTCTTCAGATTGATGGACAATGTGCTGTAGATGGTTTTATAGCACCAGGGTTCTATATAGCATCAAAAAGGTTTCCTCTATTGTTCCCAGCTTGACGTTGTCACGATAGAAGAACCCTTTTTGGTCCTATATAGAACCATTTTCAAAAAGGTTCTATATAGAACCATCTACAGCACAGTCTAAATCAATCTGAAGAACACTTTCACCATGCAAAGAACCTTTTACTTATGCACATGGTTCTTCGAGTGTTCATGGCTCAAGTGTGTAATATCCAAAAGATTGGGTAACACATTACTGTATGGCAGTGTTCACAGGGCTACATGACACCTTCATAAGCTTTGAACTTTCATAAACCTACATAAACATTTATAAACATTCTTTTTTAAGAGTGTACATAACAATTCTGTGTAATTTGAAGCGAGCGTGTGATGATTTAGGCATGCACTTTGATGCTAATTGGTGTTGTATAAGCCCCCCTTGTTGTCTTAGCCCGTAATTCAGTGCCAATCTAAAGAAGCAAACTTCAGACACCAAATAGGTCTTAACTGATTGACTTCACTTGGGAAGGGGAAAATTCTGTAATTGTGTAATTTTTTACAAGACTAGCCCATTAATTGTGGGAAAGTTCAGCTTTTGACAAAGCTAAATCGCAGATTCTGCTGGTAGGAAAAGACCAGCAGCATGTTTGAAAAGGAGCATGGATCTAGACTCGCAGCGTTTAAACACACACGGCACACATGCTCCTGCACACGTTTGAACTGCTTCCATATTTGCGTAAAGCCTGCAGGCATGCTGGTGCTGTGCCTGGTAGAACTCACACGAGTCTTAAGGAGCCACAAAGAAAGCCTGCCAGAGGAGAGAAAGGCGCTGCGCTGCTGGGATGTCTGTCTCGGGAGGAACATGCTGTAAATAGCTACCAGAAGTGTAGGCATGATGTCTCTTGAACTCTGGGCTATATCATGAGTAGGAACACACCAGCATATGCACACATGCGTATGCACAGAAGGCTCACTCGTGCGGACAGTGAATAGCATGAGTAACACTTTTGGCACAGTGAGGGCGATTGGCTTAGAGTGCACTGAGGAGAGTGCTGAGAGGTAGAGCTGGAGTTGTGCAGGATTAGGGAGACAGAATGGCTATGAACATGCTGAGAATGGAGAGCACTGGACAGACACAAACTCAGCAGGGACCTCTACTGGAACTCCAGGGGCTGGACATTTGGTATGAATGAGAAACAGTTTCAAAGCATGCTGTTTTACAGTTATAGAGCACTGAAGGCTTCTTCAGTAACGCTTTCCTTGAACCCTGCTTCATAGCACTGACACGTTGTTCTGTGCTTCACTGAACTCACTAGGACAATTTACTATGCCAGTCTGGGAGCAACACAGCATCTTCAGTAGAGCTGCACTGCCTCGGGCAGTGGCTTGCCCAAAGGCACAACCAGGTATACTCAGTTAGCGGTGTTGTAGTACTGAAGTTCAGTCTCACAAAGACAGAAAACTAATGGTCTCGGTCTTGTCTCGGCCTCCACTTCATTTTGACTTGGTCTTGTCTTGGTCTCGGGGTAAGGTTGAATTGAAATTTTTCTCAAAACCAGCCAACTGTGATGCCCGCCATCTGAGGTAATTGGAAAATGGAGATTTTTTTCCCTACCATTCAACAAAATGTTTAAACAGAATAACATAATAAATCAGTCCTTCCTCTACATGTTTAAATTACCATGCCAGGTGAGGATCTAATTCATCCTTTCCATGATGACTTTACTGGGTATTACTCATTTGCTGATGTTCATTAGTTCCAAAATTCAAACAACCCCTGAAGGCAGATCAGAATGTTATTATTATGTTTTCATTTAATAATAAAAATAAAAAATGCTCTTTGGTTAATAAACAGTTGACTTTAGGTGGTGATTCTGAAGAACTTTTAGAAGATGGATTATTTCTAAAAGTCTTTACTTGGATTTGATGTGTCCAGGGTCAAATCCCAGAGTCCTGGGATTTGAACCCACATCCTTTCGGTAGCTGGCTCACACTTCCTACCATTATTGTGGCCAATGTCATATTCTGTCTTGAACTGTCATGATACATTTTCTTCAGTCATGTTATCAATACCATTAACTGTGTTTATAACGTTCAACATGGCGGAAGAGCAGAAACTGGTCTGCAGAGGAGACAAAGTTTATGCTCTGATCTTTAAAAGACGGCGGTGGGACAGACGTCCAGCTTATGTGTCTCAGAACACGACGTCTTCCTCTCGGCCTTCTTCAATAAGCACATGTGAAGTACGTTTTCCTGAGTCTGACATAATTTTAAAGTAATTAAAACACAAGCATTGCTCACTGCTGCTTGTCTCACTCTGACTGGACTCATGTGATGCTGGTTGTCATGGTAACGTCCACACTAAGTGGTACTCTACATATGCACATAATTTTGGATTGGATTACTTATAATGTGCATGTAAACAGATTTTCCATCAGATTGTTGAGTAGAGTGAACATAAACACCTCATTCTTAATCTGTAATTGGAATGTATTCAATCAGATTAGCAGAAATCTGCATGTAAACACAGCCATTGTTATGTAGCAGGGTTCAGGTAAAGCATACCTGTGTTTACACTGCCTTCTTCTTTTTGTCCTTAACCAGATTAATTTGATATTTTGTTTAACGTATGAATTTGAGAGTCCAAATTAGCAGAGCATCTGGGGATACACAATGAGGCTTAGATCATTGCAAAATTAAATTATTATTGTTAAATTAATTCTTATGATGCTCAATCAACCATGCATGGTTAAAGTAGACTCAAACAAACAAGAGTTAGTCCAACACTGCTGGTGTTTACTGTGTTACTAATGATTTAACCGGTTGAACCCTAGGCTTATTACACAGTTATACATCAACTGCTACAAAGTATGTTGTAAATTATGTGTGTGAGGAACTGAAGTGTAAGGCCATCAGAGTTCACTGCAAGTAATTACGTTCAGCCTATATCATGCCAGATGCAGTTGGATGTTTAATCACATCTTACCAGTGTTTGGGTTGAGGCTGAACTTTCCCTCTGCGTTTCCGCCCTGTATGCGGTAAGACACACGGCCGTTCTCACCCTGGTCCAGGTCCTGAGCCATGACGTACAGCAGAACGAAGCCCACTGGTTGGTCTTCCATAACACTCACTGCAGAAGGTGAGGTGAACACAGGGGCGTTGTCATTCACGTCTGTAACAAAAATTCGGGCAGTGACTGTCCCGCGGCGCCGCTGACTCTCATCCAGGGCTGAATCAGTGGCCTGGACCACTAGCAGGAGGGATGAGGTGCTCTCATGGTCCAAAAACTGGCCCAGGGTCATGACTCCAGTGCTGGGGTCCAGCAACAGAAGGTCTGGACTGCTGGGCCACTGCTGGATGATTGAATAGCTGATTTCACTATTGGGACCACTCCCATCTTTGTCAGTAGCCTGGAAGGTATAGAGAGAAGATCCAGGCTCCATGCTCTCAGGCACCACAATGGTGATGGGATCTTCAGGAAACTGGGGTGAATGGTCATTGCTGTCCTGAACATCGATCTCCAAGGTGACGAAATGGCTTCTGGGCAGTGGTGTGGAGAAATTGTCCACTTCAATTTGGAGAGTGTAGCGTGGAGCCCTCTCAAAGTCCAACTCGCGGGCCAGATACACATCCCCCATCTGCCGGTCCACTACAAAGGTCCCATCTTGATCTGTACCCCCAACCACAGTGTAAGTGACCAAGCCTTCAGGGACAGTCTGAATGTCAGGTGCCCGAACACTTCCTATGCTAGAGCCGGGCTTAGCTCCCTCCATTGGGTTCAAGGTGATGGACACCAAATTGGTTGTGGATGACGACTTGGTGGAGCTGAGAACCTGCCGGCACAAACAGATAAGACATTTTTTCTCTATGATGTTAGATGTGAAGAACCTCATGAACTGACTGACTCACTGACTGATTGATTCACTGACTCACCCACTGACTCACTCATGTTTATCTGGCACAAGTGGGAGCTATTAATATTTGTGGGGAGGAAAATGGCAAGAAATGGCAAGAAACTACTCCAGCAGGATCTCACAAATGAATATATTGCTGCTGTCGGAAGAAAACCTAGTATCTCCATTTTTGTCTTTTTCAGTTTTTGACATAATTTGAAAAAGCCTGTTCCCCTTTACATTGTATGCAAATTTCATGAAGAATGGACTAAAACAAACAGCTCAAAATGATGTGGAAAAACATCTGGTTCCATTGACTTACATTAAAAGTAAAGTATGTTTCTTCCTTCTGCTGTAAAGTTAACATTTTGGAGATACAAGATTTTCTTCTGACAACAGCGATATGTTTGCAGACACAAACTGTATGTATATGAAGTCAAATAAATGCTAAACATAAGTACACAAATGCAAGATACACTCAATGCTGCGACCACTGAGCACAGCAACTCTTAACTAATACTGAAAATGTTCACTCGATCGGAGGTGCCATGTAAGAGTGAGGCTGAACGTCTACACTTTGTGTCCTTGTTCTGTATTATGTGAAAGGATCTGCAAAGTTCTGTTCTATTGTGTAGTTTGAGGCCCAAATGCCAATGGAATCTCACAAAGCAGAACCATATTGCAGGCCACATTTTTCTCGTCTTTTCACTGAGAATGAAAAACAAAACTTTTTGGCCATTTTTGCAGGCTCAAACAACAAGCCTGCTGGCGTTAATCATAGTTAATCAGATGGCTCAGTGACTGCCAGGAAAAATAATGCTGGATTAAAGTAAATATAATCAGAATAGGAAATTGTTAGAACATTCGAATTCTGAAAAAGGGCATATTCTTTAAAAAAAAAAAAGAAAAAAGGACAACTTCTACGGCGCTCTTGATGACCAATCAAATAGACTTCAAAGCAAAGGCGCCCTGAAGCCTGATGTGAAAGCCGCACGTTTTGCCTTCAACAGATGACACAATGTTTTGGTAGTTAGGAGAATGAACAAAAAGAGAGAGAGAGGGAGCGAGAGACAGACATATAGGCGTATAGAGCCAGACAGGCTGAAGGAATGACACACATAAGACCAGACGGGTGGACAGATGGGCGGACGCAAGAACGGATAGACAAACAAGCATGCAGACAGAGAGAGGATGTGGGACTTGTTTGAGTTTGGGTCTGGGGCTTATTGCGGCCAATAAATCAAAAGTGAATTGTTCAGAAATGTGTCACTTTGCGCTTTGTAAGATGGATGGGCTTGGACAGGAAGTATGGGACAAGCTGTTTGTGTATGGCAATGTGCTTTAGCCAGCAACACAGGTGCTCATAAATGAACCATTTATTGCCGCCATGGTTCATTCCCCACAGACACCAGTACCTACACTACCATGGCAGTTAAAAGACTCACTTTGAGCCAAGGCTTCTCATGAAACCTAATATGACAGTGGACTAATTAATTCCATATTAAGTGATGAATTAAATGTCAGGCATTGTTCCAATGTAAAATGAACATGAGGTCACTTCCTTCCAGCTCAGCTGTTTCTGGAACGAGCAGCAGCTTTCTAAAATGATGACATCGGAAAGGCCAGACTTAACAAACTAGGGGCAAAACAGCTCACTTTAATCCAATCACATATCAATTATGGGCCTCTGTCTTTGTTTTGGAAGCTTGAGGGGAAAATGAAGTGATTAAAAATGTGCAATGAATTTTCCCAGCATTCGCAAAAGGAAATTTACTACTGTTGCTGTCTACTGAGCCTGTTTGAGTTCAGCTGGGTCATAAATTATTATCTTCATTAAGGGTCTCGGAGAGATTTTGTTAGTCAGAAAAGCTACTGAACTCTTCTGAAACAGAGCCACGTTTGACCTGAAAAGGAGAAGAGCACAGTTGGCACCTGAAGGGATTCGCTCCCTCTCCTCAAACGCTTTGCAAAATAATAATACTCTCTGCTGCAGACAACAGCTGCCAAAAGAGAAGAGGCTCTTGAGAGTCAGCCGCTGGTAAGAAACATCTTTCTGAGCACCTAAAATTAGCCAGCTGAGAGTCTTTTTTCCCGGCAATGGCTTAGAGCAGGATAATTTCATCCAATAAATTCCTGGACCGAGAGAGCAGCATTAAAGCTGCTCTTGAGTATTTGGTACATGAGAATGTGTGAATCAGGCAGATGAATCACAGCAAGTAGATACACAGGGTATACATAGACTACATCAGGGGTGAACTGTGACTATAAGAGCTAGGCCTTCAGTTCAGACCACAACATCAATATTAGCTCAAAATGAGTTTAAAAACCACCAAACACCTTTAGAATGATGGTCATTTCTGCTATGGGATTCTAGCATTATTTTAGTGCTAAGCTAAGTGATTCACATGAACATTTTAGGGCCATTCTAGATTTAATATGTATGTCTGAAGCTTTTAAAATAATCCATGTTTTGTTTGAAGCTTTTACACTGACTCCTGTCCACACAGCTGCTGCCACTTTTTTCATTTCTAACATATAACTGGCTACCATACTCACTGTCAGTGACATATCTAGAACTTACAGAAGGCCTAGAATGACATTTGTTCTCACAGAACTAGTCACACCCATTGCAAATCAAGACTAGTTAATTCTACTGTTAGTTTGTAATTATGTTAGTGGTTAATCTGACATGTTAGGCCAGAGGTTCCCAATCCTGGTCCTGGAGATCTACCACCCTGCAGAGTTTAGATCTAACCCTATTCTATCACACCGGATCCAGGTAATCAAGGCTTCCAGGGGCATCAGATGATATAAGCTAGGTGTGTTGGATCTGAACTCTCCAGGGTGGTAGATCCTGAGGACTAGGATTGAGCACCCCTGTGTTAGGCCTTCTGTCCAGTTCATGAAGTCCTAACCAATGAGAGTGTCTGACTGTATCTACGTATATACCAGGAAAAAAAAAAGATAATTTTCTGATGGATCTCCAACCAAAACTTTACTGCAATACTTGCAGAGTTTAAACACAACAAGAGTGATGCTTCAAGTAAATAAAATGGACAAAGAATTCCAGACATGTATTTTTTTCTATTTTACAGAACTCAGAAGGCCTAGAAGGCCCCGAGGATTCCCCGCTACAGTACATGTGCAGAAAAAAGCAGGAAAGTAACATCAATAACACTTTTCTAAACTTCAAATATGCTTCAGACAACAGCTGACAGAAAGAAGAGAGTCAAAGGCAAAGGAAGGACAACTGAGTGAGCGAGAGAAAGAAAAGGTCAGAAAACGTAATCATTCTCGCCACTGGTTATTAAATGAGTGCTGAAAGAGATGAATAAACTGTGTAATTCAGTAAAGGAAGGGTGCAAATCCCTACTGACTGAACAGATTTTCATTTACAAAATGCAAAACAAACCAGGACAATAATGGTTCACACATGTGGTTTGGTAAGTAATGCACAGTCTCTGTCACTCTGTACTTAATGGCTGCTTTGTCAATGGAAAACTGCAATCTGCATAATGGATTTGCAATCTGCATAACTGATTCACTATTTATCAGCACTGAATCCCAAACAGCAGCTCCTACTTAGCTTCATGGTTGTGTACTGACCCAGAGTTTTAATATCAAACCTCACTGATAGTGATAATTATCTATCACTATGCTGTAAAGTGACAGATGTTTCACCAATTGACAACCTTTTGCTCTAGCCCAGCTCCCAAAACGCCTAAATCTAGCCATAGATCTTTGAAGTCTTGTCGTTGACACGCTCATGTAAGGAACTCCAAGGCTTTTTTCTCTATAAAAAATGAATGCTGTTCTCAGAAATCATGGGCTGGAGGTTAGGGAACCAGCCTTGCAACCGGAAGGTCACTGGTTTGATCCCCTTAGCCAACCGTATGTGACTGAAGTGCCCTTGAGCAAGGCACCTAACCCCCAACTGCTCCCCGGGCGCTATGGATAGGGCTGCCCACCGCTCCGGGCAAGTGTGCTCAATGTCCCCTACTGTGTGTGCATTCACTAATGTGTATGTGGTGTTTCACTGCATGGATGGGTTAAATGCGGAGGTGCAATTTCCTCGTTGTGGGACTAATAAGGGTCACTTAATCGAATTAATCTTAATTTTAGACCATTCATTCAACCGTTCATTTTTTCTATAGAGAAAAATGCTTAGACCATGGTCATACGCTGATAACAAAATGATGCACAAATTCAGAGATCTATTAAGAACACTGAATACCTGGTACAGGGGTACTGGAACACGGGAGAGAGTGAAAATATGGGCTGTCTGGGAGGCCCTAAGGACTGGGTTGAGAAATATTGATTTAAAGCACAAAATTTAGTGCAAATTCAAATGATGCCGCCAGTTTCCTGTCACTGGACACTGGACACCAAGGCTGCATGATATAATAACATATTACATTACCACATTCTGTGACTGCAATGGGCTTTCCAGTATAGTAAAAACACAAAAATGAATTGATCTGCACTATTTTTGGATTCTGATTGGTCAGGATCATCACATCACACACTTGTTATAAGCACATTTCCAAGCTGTCATTATCTGCTATAGTGATACTGCTATGCCAGTTCTGTGATAATGATTAACAACCAATTTAATGTGCAGCCCTACTGAGTACTAACAGCCATGGTAGGGGGCTGACCTGTATTCTCAGCGTGGCTGTGGAGCTCTGGGGAGGTGAGCCTCGGTCCGTGGCCAGGATGGTGAAGCTGTAATCAGGCCGCTCGGCGTGGGTCAGCAGGCTGGACGAGTGCAGCTCGCCCGTGATGGGGTGCAAAGAGAAGCGCTCTGCCCTTGGACCTGGTCATGACAAACACAGTGCACACGTACACGGTAAGCTGTTTGTTTTGTGTAACAAAGATTTTGGTTCTCTGTAAAATACTTAGGTGTCCACCTCTAGAGACAATATGCCTTATATTCAGAGTCTCTGAACTGTTTAAGTTTACTGATAACCATATAGTACTTTTCTAACATCAAAATCATTATCAACAACAATTAATCCGGTTTTGATTTTCTTTACTGTGACTCAGAAGTGTTTTTTGTACTTTATTTGACAGCTAAACAGTCCCACATTTATTTAAATACACATACAAACACAATTAAAGGCAGTTACAATAATCTCTTACAGCATGACAGCTTTGATCTGATGGTTTAGCTTATTTCTCTTTTTTAAAAATGTGATATGTGTGTTAATAGATGGTGCACTGCATGTAGATATGGTATCTATATGCTAGGTATCTTCACAGCATTTGTGAGGGTGAGGATGTGTAACAATTTCATATGTACACATAATTTGTTGGTTATCTGTTGTGCCGTGGCAAGAGTGACTGTATCTCTCCCCCCCATTTATATTTGTTTATCAGTAGTATTACAACGGTTATTCCAAAACGTACACCGCCACTGTCGCTGCCACAAGTCATGACAGATAACAGGTGAGAAAAGAAGAAATCATTTCATTTCTGTGTTGCAGATGCATGAGGTGGAGGTTCATCATTTATTTTTCACCACCATATAGCTACAGTCAATTTGTGTGCCTCTCTCACCTGACATTGAATAGAAAACTGTCCCATTTTCTCCCTCATCTGGGTCTTTTGCGGTTAGAGTGCCCAGTAGAACTCCTGATGGCTGTCCTTCCAGCACCTGCAGACACAGAATTCAGAAATAAAGTGGCTCAACTTGATAGTACTTGGTTTGCTGGCATCTTCAAACTAGACACAAGGCAGTTTAATGTATGTATGTGAATATAGTATGTATATACAGTAGGTAAACTGAATTCTTCACCATACCCATGTACAATATAATCAATACTTCATGTGCAATATTCCATATGCAATATATATATTGCAATATGTGTAAAATATTCTTATAGTGCACTTTTTTTGCTTTTCTGTTTATAATGTTTATATTGTTAATTGAGAAGGGCAGAGTTTATATTTTTATGTTTAGTATTATATGTATAACTAATAATAAGTATAGAAAATGTAACTGTGATTTTTTTATTCTCTTCTTGTTCCTTTATTTCTTGAGTGCCTTGTACTAGTTTTGCCTAGTTTAGTATATATACTAAACTACGTTTACATACACACCACTGGCATGTTGTCTAAGACTGTTAGTCTAACTTCAGTCTCCATGCAAAGCATACATTAACACACTGCATGTTTACATAGTTGCCAATAATTTCATATTTACTGAAACAAGGTGATTGATGTGATGAGCACAGAGAGTCTATTAAAAGCTTATAATCCTGACTATCTTTTCTGAAATGATTTCAATGAGTATTACTGCTTTTAAAAAAAATCTACTATTACTTTGGTTTCTGATATCATGATAAGATTTTCGTTTGTAACAGAGAATTCTGCAGAATTTTACTCTTTGCAACAGACAAGCGTGAAACAACACCAACATTCATCACTGTAACTTTAACCACTGACTTCTACATTATCATCCTTCATTGGTCTCATAGTGCCACTCCATCGCACTCCATACCTGCATGAAGATCTCTCTGCCCGACTGGGAGTGGGTGAAGAACGGAGCATTATCATTCTCGTCCAGAACCGTGATGAAGGCCGTCCCTGTGGCACTGCGGGGTGGGGTACCGCTGTCCTGGACCACCACGATTAGCTGGTAACTGGACTGGTGCTCACGGTCTAGAGAGAGCCTGGTGCTTATCTCTCCTGTAGAGAAGAGGAAGGTAAGGATGGATGGATGGATGGATGGATGGATGGATGGAAGATTGTATTGACAGATCAATGAAGGAATAATGGAGAGATGGATGGAGAAATGGATGGATTGATGAAAACAGAGATAGAGGGATGAAAGGATAAATGGAGAGACGGAGAGATAGAGAAATGATGGATGGATGGATGGATGGATGGATGGATGGACGGATGGATAGGTGATGGAGGGAATAATTAAGAGATGAATGAACGGAAGGATGAATGATAGAGGAATGAAGGGACGGATGGATGAATACAGGGGTGACAGGGAGGGATGAAAGGATGAATGGAGAGATGGAGGGATGGAGAGACAAATGATGGATGGATGGATGAATGGATGGGATGGATGGGTGGATGGGTGGATGGGTGGATGGGTGATGGTGGGATGAATTAAGAGATGAAGGAATGGAGGGATGAATGATGGAAGAATGGAGGGATGGACAGAAGGATGGATGGATTGTTGGAAAGATGGATGGATGGAGGGATGGTAATATGAGCAAATACAGAGAATCAATAAGAGACATAAATATGAGGAAAGATAAAGAGAGATAAAGAAAAAGAGAGAGGAATGCAGACAGAAGGTAGAGAGAGAGAGAGAGAGAGGGGGAGAGAGAGAGAGAGAGTGTAGTATCTGACTAGAGAGAACAGGGGCTTAAAGTTGAATATCAGAGACAGCAGTCTTTGATTGCGCAGATGGCCCATCCCAGCTGCTTCTGCAGGATCCCCCTCCGCAGCAGTGGTGACAGAAGTCTAAGCTAAGAGCTGCCGGAGATTCCTGTCTTCCGCTGGGACAGAATGTGTGAAAGCTAGTGAGCTGAGCCTCGTTTATCACACTGCTGTTATTCAGCGCACTCATCTATAATCGCTGAGCACTGAGAATACCTTGAACAGATTGGACTAGATTTCTTACTACAGAAAGATCATCCCTTTGTGTTGTGCTGAGCTTGTTGAGCTGTCAGGACACGTACAGGGGTCACCTTTAGGGCTAGACGATACAACAGTAATGACAGGCCTGATTATCCAAATCATTATCCAAATCATTTCAACATGTTTTCAACACTGATAATGAATTTTTAAGGTATTTTGAATAAAATGATTATGCTGTTCTGTTTCATACACCAGTTTCAGCAACAAAAGCTTTAAATATGAACAACTGCTACTTCAGTAAATGAGGTGTAGATGTGTGCCTTTAATTTACTATATGAGGAGGGAGAAAATGTCTCACCATTTACTCATAACAGCACAAATCAGCATGCCATTTGGCTAGCTAGCCAACCAAAAATGTCCCAGAAGAAGGCTATCTGTCCTCTGTGGCAACTCCATTCTCTTTTCCTTTTTTTAGTTCTATTTTTTAGTTTAGTCTTACACAAAATAAGCCTTTTGTTTTCTCCAGGCTTAAAACTACTATTAAGACTCAACCCTCAAAACTTCAGACTTCAGTTTCTCACCTTCATCACTACATAATTACCTTGCACAGTAATTTCACAGTGGCCATTAAATAACTCATTGTAGTTACTGGATAATGAGATTAAGATTAACACTGCATAATAAGCATATAATTTAAGAAGGAACATTAGGAAATAATAACCTAATCAAATAATTCATACTATCAGTGGCTGTGTTTACATGCAAAGATCTTTGCCAATCTGATTAAATACATACTGAGTACAGATTAAGACTGAGGTGTTTCTATGCTCACTCTACTCAACAATCTGATGGAAAATCTTCATTTACATGCTCACTACAAGTAATCTGATCCAAAATTACACGCTTGCATAAAGTACCACTTAGTTAGATGTTACTATGACAAACAGCATCTCGTGAGTCCAGTCAGAGTGAGACGAGCAGCAGCGAGCAGTTCTTGTGTTTTTAATTACTTTAAAATTATGTCAGATTTAGGAAAACGTACTTTTCATGTGCTTATCAAAGAAGGCCGAGAGGAAGACGTCGTGTTCTGAGAAACATAAGCTGGACGTCCGTCCCTCCGCCATCTTTTAAAGATCAGAGCATAAACTTTGTCTCCTCTGCAGACCAGTTTCTGCTCCATGTTGAACGTAATAAACTTTCACTATGGCGTGACGCACATGATCAGAACGGACTTAAACATCCCGATTGGGAATGTAATCAGATCCGGGCGTTTACATGGTTATTATTCTTCTATTTAATGGACTGTTTACAGGATTACCCACCTCGTTCAATTGGATAGAAATTGTATTCCGAATGGCCTCAATCGGACTAGTCTTTTCCGACTGAGCTGTATACATGGACGTACTCTATTCCAGTTGAGCTATTAGTCGGATTATTAACGGATTATCAGGCTGCATGTAAACATGGCTACTGTTCAATGATATTGAAAACTATACCACTACAAGCAGCTAATAAGTCACCTGTGTGGGAGTTGATCTGGAAGTGGCGGTCTGGGTGCAAGAGGCGGTAGCTGAGGCGGCCGTTGAGCCCCGCGTCTCGGTCCGTGGCAGAAACCCGGCCAAATCCTGTCCCGGCTGGCAGGTTCTCACGTACTGTCAGGAAGGCTCTGTCCTGGGTGAATCGAGGTGAGTTGTCGTTTTCATCAGTTACCGACACTCGCACGGTGGCACTGCCCGTCTTCTTCAGTCGTCCATGTCCAGCTGTGGCAAGCACGGTCAGCAGGTACACCTCCTTAACCTCACGGTCCAGGGCACTTTTAACAAAGAGCCAGCCGCTGTCCGGTGCAATGCCAAAGCCTGCAGCGTCCCCATCTGGCTGCAGGTGGTAGGCTAATGGACTAGAGGCGCTGCTACCCATCCCGACTCCACTGTCCCTGTTGAGGGCACGAACCTGCAGGAAGCGGGTGTTGAGTGGGGTTCCCTCCTTCAGCTCCACACGGTAGGTAAGGGTGTCAAAAACAGGCCCCTGGCTGTTCTCGGCCTGCACATGGACCACCAGAGTGAAAGTTGCACTGAGCTGGGGTGCCCCCATGTCCTTAGCGACCACCTGAAGATCGTACCGGGGCACAGTCTCATACGACAAGCTGCCAATCAGACGGATCTCCCCGCTGCCCCGGTCCACACTGAAGGTCCTGTGGGCACTGCTGGAGATCAGGTCAAAGGTGAGAACACCGTTGGGTCCTGAGTCATGGTCCTCCGCCTGGATCTTATACACAACCGTGCCCATTCTTGTGTCTTCTGGAATGATCAGAGATTCAGAGGAGGACGGGATGAAGACAGGAGCGTTGTCGTTGACATCTGCCACTGCAATGCGAACGCGGGTTTGGCCAAACGCTGGGGGGTTCCCGCTTTGTGCCTGAATCTCCAGCTCCAGAGTGGGCTGAGCCTCATGGTCCAGTGGCAGGCTGGTCCTCAGAACTCCGGTCTCAGGGTCCACTGTGAAATAGCCAGTTGGGTCACCGGAGCAGATGGTGTAGGAGATATCCTTCGAGATGCCTGGAGAGAAAAAAGAGAACAGAGATAAGTAGAGAAAGTAAGAGAGAAAGTGTGTGTGTGTAAGTGTGTGTGTGTGTGTGAGTGAGAGATGAGAGAGAGAGAGAGAGAGAGAGAGAGAGAGAGAGAGAGAGAGAGATAGAGAGAGAGAAAGAGAAAGAGAGGAAAAATAGGTACGATAGAAGAGAGAGAGAAGGCAAAAGAGAGAGCACAAGGTTCAAGAGTGCAAGAGAGAAAGAGAAAAAAGGAGAGATAAATTAAAAAATAGAGAGAGAGAAAGGGAGAAAAGGAGAGAGCGAGAAGAGGATAGAGAGATATTTGGAGAGTGGAAAAGAGAAAGAGAGAGAGATAGAGAGAGAGAGTGAAGGAGAGGGGCTAGAGTGCATGTGAGAGGAGAGAGAGAAGGAGAGAGAGAGAGAGTGAGAGAGAGAGAGAGAGATAAGGAGTGGAAAGAGAGAGAGAGAAACAGATGAAAAAGAGACAAAGAGAGAATACAAGCGAGTGCAAGAGAGGGAAAAAGAGACACATCAGTCCGCAGCCATGTCCAGCACAGAGGCCAAACGTGTTACGAGTTGGTTTTTCATCACGTGACGTCGTGATGGAGCAGCTCAAATATCCAAAGAAAATTCTTTAAAAATCTAAGTGGCGAAATGGAATCTATGATTAATGTCGATTCTAAATGAGGTGTGTACAGTGGCTCCATGCCTATTTGTACAAGTGGTGCCGAGTGAAGAAAAAAAGCCAGATGCCGCATTTTCAACAAGTTTGACCGCGTAGTCCGGCGTGACTGATAAATGTGGGTATGCACTGTAAGCTTTGGCATGTGAGAGCGCCCCGGACCCTTATACTAAAGCCCTTCTATTCAGCTCACCCACCGTTTTTAGTGCTGGCACGTACAGTGCCCACTTGTGTCCCGCGCAGTGCGTCCTCAGTCACTGTGAAGAAGTACTGCGCCTGTTCAAACACAGGGGGCGCCACCAGGCCTGCCACAATGCTGATGTTGACCCTGGCATTGACTGGAGCAGTGAGGCCACCCCCATCCTGGGCTGAGATCACCATGGCAATGACTGAGTTTGCTTTGCCGTGTAGAGAGCGAGACAGCGAGATGACTCCTGAAATTAAAAACGCTCCGCCAGTTAAACAAAACCCAACAATCCAGAATCCAGTCTGTAAACATTCAGCTTTTGTAAATAACTGATGGATTTCTGAATGTCTGTAATTCTCTGCATGATATGTTCATGTACACCAATTAATGAGTCAAGTCAGAAACATCCTGTACATTGGAAAAACTGTGTTATGGTATGTTTCATTGAAGGTATAAAAACTTTGTTATGGTGTTCTTGGCTGGGGGATTAAGAGCTGTGTTATGATATGTTGGTATAAAACTGTTCTATGCTGTGTTTCATTGGTGGGATAAAAGCTACATTATGACTTGTTTCACTGGTGGTATAAAAGCTGTGTTATGTTGCGCTTCACAGGTAGTAACTGTGTAGTGGTGTATTTTGTTGGTGGGACAGAAGCTGTGTTATAGTGTGTTTTGCTTGTTGCATAAAAATTGTGGAATGGTGTGTTTTGCTGGTGGGACAAAGCTGTTTTATTATGTGTTTCACTGGTGGTAAAAGCTGTGTTATGCTGTGCTTCAAAGGTGGTCTAAAAACTGTGTAATAGTTTTTTCATTGGTGGTAGAAAAGCTGTGTTGTAATGTGCTGTGCTGGTTGTCTAAAAGCTGTTATATTGTGTTTTCAGCTAATTGTATAAAAGCTTTGTTATAACTTGTTTTGCTGGTGGTATAAAAGCTGTGTTATGATGTTTTTGCTGTATGTATAAAAGCTGTGTTATGGTCTGTTTTGCTGGTGGTATAAACACTGTGTTATTCTGAGCTTCATTAGTGATATAAAATCTGTGTTGTGGTGTGTTTGGCTAAAATTTTGTGTTATGCTGTGTTTGCTGGTGGTCAAAAAGCTGTGATGTGCTGTGTTTTTGTTGTTGATATAAAAGCTATGCTACAGTGTGTTGTGCTTGTGATATAAAAGCTGTGCTATAATGTGTTTTACTGGCAGTATAAAAGCTATGTTTTGCTGTGTTTTGTTGCTGGTATCAAAGCTGTGTTATGGTTTGTGTTCTTGGTGATATAAAAGCAGTTTTATGCTGTGCTTCACAGTTCAGTAAAAGTTGTGTTATAGTGTGTTGGGCTGGTGGTCTAAAAGCTATGTAATGGGTTGTTCATTGGTGGTAGAAAAGCTGTGTTTTTGTGTGTTGTGCTCGTCTAAAAGCTGTTATACTGTGTTTTTTGCCAGTTGTATAAACTGTGTAATTATGTATTTTTTTATCAGTATAAAATCCATATTGTCATTGGTGGTATGAAACCTGTGCTATGATGTGTTTTGCCAGTTTGGCTTGTGGTAGATCCAGTAACCTCACCAGTATCTTTATTGAGGGTGAAGAAGGGTGAGCCTCCCCCAGGTGCGGTGCGGTACGTCACCCTACCGTTCTCCCCTGCATCTGGGTCATGGGCAGTTACCCGCACGACAGAGGTGCCGGGACTGCTCTGAGTGCTCAGGCTCACAGCGTAGTGCTGAGGGTAGAAGGCTGGCCGGTTGTCATTAATGTCCTGCAGGTCAACACGCACAAAGGCCACAGAGCTCAACCCACCCTGTGGAGAGAAATGGAGCCAGGCTGTGTCAAAAACCATTCAGCTTGTACTAACTCTTGTGTTGATGTGCTAGCTTGCTGAAGATTCTTATCTTAAAACCAGTTTAATACTAAAAACAAATTCTTGATTCCATAGGTTCCCTGAGGGCACAGAAGGTTTAAAGCTTTAGTTCTACCAACAAATTTACACAATTTTCCCTTTACCCCAATGGAGTTGATCAGCCAAGACAAGGGTGCTTCTTTAGTTTCACACTGGAGCTGCAAGCCTAATAGAGCTAACAAGTAATGGAATTTCATTCCATCATCAAAATGGAATAAATCATCACACATTGCCTCAAGCCATGTTGAGATCTTAGGCATTCTCAGATGGACTTGCTTATGTGGTTTCCACACTGTCATCTATAAAATTGGACAAAACTATGCCACTTAGCTAAAACAGTAGTAGCAGCTCTCTTGTTGTCAGAATTTTTTTATCTGGCTCAACAAAGGAAGCAAACTTCAGATGCCAAGCACATCTTGACGGGTGGTTTCAGTGGATTGATCATTTCCCCGGAGAGAACTGCAGTCTGTGGGAGGTGGTGGGAGGCAGCGACCTTAACCACCTGCACTGCTGCTGTCCCGCATGGAGCGAACGTCACGCAGCCTTCTCCTCCATGGCAGGAGGGGAGCGCAGCAGGGCTCCAGCTTATTAAATATTACAGCGCTGTGCTCTTTAAGACTCTGCACTCTTAGATTGCTTTAACATGTCTGCTGCAATTTCCTTTCGCTGCTGCCCAGCACTTTTAAGTATCGTTTAGGCTGCCATGGCACACGATGCTGTGCGACTCCTAAAGCATTGCCATGAGACCCATTCCCAGTTTCCTCTCACTCTTTTTTCTCTTCCTTAATGGATGTAAAAACTGCTTAACTGACTGCATTTCTGTAACATCGCATCCAGCAAGAGAATCCTCTATGCCTCTTCAGGGATCAGTATCTGCCGGTAAAGCCTTGATGAATGGGTGTTACTGCAAAGCATGTTTGTACATACTTTGATTCGTTAGTAACCTGGCACTTACAGATCACATACAGGCCAGAAAACAGAACATACAACAAGACAATATCTCCCAGTACTGGTACTCTCACTGCATTTTTTAAAATCTCCATAAGAATCACCTCACCTTATTCACCTGCAACCTATCAAAGGCAGGGCCACTGCAAGAAGTAACAGCCATTTAATTACATTTGCATTTAATGAATAATTGAATAAATCTAAATAATATTTACAAACTTTCTTGTTTTGTAAACATCATTGTTTGAAAAGCTAATTGAAATCAGTCATATGGATGGTCAGTCTGGCCACAACTCACCCCATCCACTGCGGTGACTGTGAAGTCGTAACTGGCCGGGCCCTGGTCTCGGTCCAGGCTGGCGCTGGTGCAGATTTGGCCGCTGTCTTTGTTGATGGTGAAGTGAGGAGGGGTCACACTGCCAGGCCCGGAGCCCAGAGAGTAGGATACCGAGCCGAACGAGCCACCATCTGCATCCCTGGCTTTTACCTGGATGAGAGACAAGCAGAGACTCAATCATTTTTTTCACAAAACAATCACTGCTCTGATAAAGAAAGTAAATGGAAATGCACCAAATATTTGTGACTAAGCCTAGAATAAATGTTTATAATTTGATGCCAAAATGTGTCAGGCTTTTAAAGGGACGAGTGGATGGATGGATAGACACCCGATAGTACCCAGACACTCCTGCTTATTGGTGAATTTGGCGAATAACACATCGCTGACAAAGGTGTTTGACTGCAGCCTGTATAATCTCCATAGAAACGCACTGCCAACAGAATGGAGTGCTCCTCAGAACTCGCACATGAGCTTAAGTTTACCATGCCCAATGCAAAACATCAGCTAGAGGGCTGTAAAGCTCCTCAGCATCGGGCTGTGGAGCAGTGGACCTGTCTTCTCTGGAGTGATGGAGCTCCATCCAATACCTTGGGATGACCTGGAGTGGAGTTTGTTATCCAGAACTAATCAACCAACATCAATACCTGACCTCACTGATGCTCTTAGGGCTGAATGCAATTAAACCCTCACAGCAATGTTCTAACATATAGTGTACAGCCTTCCCAGAACAATAAGTGTAATCCACTAAAATAATTGCGATCAGGTGATTAATAATAATAATAATAATAATAATAATAAATAATTTTGACAAGCCTAGAAGTAACAGCAATTATTGTAGCAGATTATTTTTTCAATCATATCTTTATGTGGTAACACACAGTTGGGTTGAGTTTAATACATGCAAATGTAGGAAAGCAATTTGTTGAGACACGTAGGTCTTATTAAAACAAGAAAAGTAAAAAATCCTGACTATAGTACTATAACACCGTTAGAGGGCAGTAGTGAGTAATGTTTGATGTTTGTTAATAACACCTTTAGATGGTGGCGGTAAGTAATCATTGCTTAATTGAAGTTTGTTAACACCTTTAGAGGGCGACAGTGAGTAATGTTTGTTTATTTGATGTTTGTTAATAACACCTTTAGAGGGCAGCAGTGAGTAATGTTTGTTTAATTTATGTTTATTAACACCTTTAAAGGGAAGTAGTGAGTAATGTTTGTTTATTTGATGTTTGTTAATGACACCTTTAGAGAGAAGTAGTGAGTAATATTTGTCTATTTGATGTTTGTTAATAGCACCTTTAGAGGGCGACAGTGTGTAATGTTTGTTTAATTGATGTTTATTAACACCTTTAAAGGGCAGCAGTGAGTAATGTTTGTTTATTTGATGTTTGTTAATAACACCTTTAGAGGGCAGTAGTGAGTAATGTTTGTTTATTTGATGTTTGTTATTCTTTGTTTATATGATGTTTGTTCATAACACCCTCAGAGACAAGTAGACAAATATAACAGTTCATCACATGTGAAAACAGTTTAAGGTGAAAAGATTTCTTAATCGGGACCTCATATCTATTCCCTCTATTAAATACTGCATATATTGCCTCACTGAGTAATTACAGTGTGTGTTCATCTCTCTTCACTCTGCTACATCTACACAAACAGAGTGCAGGTGCTGGACAGCCCTCTCTAGACTTCCTGTACGCAAAGATGTACACTCAGCCGAAGCACCTGGAGACAGCCTCTGCCTCTCTGAGTTATTTATCGGGTCAGCTGAGCCAAATGGAGAAAGAGCGCTGGCAGCCAGCGCAGTGATGGAGTGACATAATGACTTTCACAGAGCCTGAAAACCGGCCAGAAAGAGAGAAAGACAGAGAAATAAAGAAAAAAGAAGAAAGAAAGATGGATGTCAGGCCCCAAACAGACCCTTCATTTTTTGTGATTTTGTGTTTTGCGGTAAACTGTGAAACAACCAGCTTTGTTATGATCTCATTTATCTCACTTGATTCTATTACCTGAAGTGTACAAGTCCCTTTAGATCACAACTACCAGTTGCAATTGCAAGTGTTTTTATTTCCCAAGATCAAGATACATTTAACGTCTCTAGTCAGTATAACTTCCAATAACAAAAAGTCAGAGGCCAGCCTTTTCTAGTCAGAACAGCCATTATGTTCAAGTTACACATTTTTTCTGAGGACATGAGATGTAAGATAATCCACTTGCATAAGGAAGAGGAAAGTCAAAGGGAAAAAAACAGTAGTTTCTAAAATTGGAAATGTGAACAAACTTCTAAGACTGAACTTTGGAAGTGTGGAACAATGTTCCTGTAGATTTCCTTGAAAGCAAGACTCTTGAACAAATGATTAAAAAAACTGAAAGCAATACTCTTGAAAAAATAATAACTTCCGACTAAAACTAGGCTAAACTATAAATAAATAAATAAACAAACAAACTGTGGTTTCTGACTTTTGTGCAGTACTGTATAAACACACACACAATCCAAATCTATAACAAGCCCAAATGGTACATAAACATAAATTCATAAAGCACAAACAAAATAAAAGTGTACACTGCAAAAAAATGATAGCGTGTGTAAACATCTTAAATGTAGTCAACTGTTGTGAGAATATTTTAAGATCTTTTTTATTTCTAGGCATCTTTTACTTGTTTTTAAGCAGGTTTATCTTATGAAACTGTCCTATTTCATTGTTTACGCATTATTTCTTGAAATAAGCTAAATTATCTTCATTTTTTCTTAAAACAAGTAAACTAATCCGCCAATGGAATAAGACACTTTCACTAGATAAAATCACTTAAAACAAGTAAAAATGTACAGAAACAGGTGGAATAATCTTATATTATTCTTACAACAGTCTCGTAATGTGAAATATTAGATTTATTAACTACATTTAAGATGTTTTCACTTGTTAAGAGAATATTTTTTGCAGCGCAATTAGAAAACATATCTTATATAGAACCTAAAACCATGCGATTACAGACAGCATGAGCATCAGGACACCAGTCCACAAGCTCAAGAACAAAGTAGAACAGATCTAACCTGCAGGAAGATGAGCGTTTGAACGTGGACAGATGATTCCCCAGTTCTACAAAGCCAGGCCCTGAAGCTCCCTCAGAAGTTTTACAATCTAGCAGGGGGTATAATATTATTAAACACTGCTGAACCTCATGCTGTTCCTTCAAGGCTAGCGTGACAGAAGTTGGAAGTGCATCACCTGGACAGTTCAAACTCGAGGTAACAGAGCGTGGAGGAGTTGAACGGCAGTTCGACGTAGGATCTGCTTCATGGACAGAGCCGTTTTCCATGAAGACTTGGCTTGTGTAATGAAAGCACAGGGACAGCTCACTCAGCTATGGGTCTCCGAATACCAGAGGATACGAGCTCCCACACAGCACTCTAAGACAAATATTTCCTTCTGGTCCCTGGCCTGAGCGGCAGCTACCGAGCGCAAGATGTGTAAGGAGAGAAGCAAACCTGCCTCCGTCCTCGTTTTAGCTGTGGCGAGGCATGAGGTATTTCATTTACTCAGCAGTCAGAAACTTGGCTTTGGAATTCTATGCATATCAAATATTTATGATTTAAAGCAAGCAAAAAGCAATCTGTGCCCTGGGGGCTTAAAGAGCGCTAAAGTCAGAAGGGCAAAAGTAAGCTGAAGTTTCTTTCCACAACACCAAGTCGCTGTATTCAAATGTAGTGGCTTCTGAAAAATGAGGCAGAGAAAATAGAACACAGCATTTCTGGAGCAGACTCGATTACGTGGTTAGGTGGCAAAAGAAGTGTTGACTGAGCGATGACTTTTCAGCTCTATATATATTCTTATTTTTTTATATGTACTGTGCTGTTGCTTTTGTTAGTTTGCTGCATGTTGATTTATCTGTAGAGGGCACTGTTCTGCGTAGTCTGCATTCTCCATGGCAAACTTTACTATTATTACAGATATTACTGATATTACAGCGAGTTCTGCTTGTAAGTAATATATCAGATGCAACGTATTTGATTCACCGCGGCAGTAGCTGGAAATAACTTTGGTTTTATCAAGAGATCCATCAACAGAATTTGCCATTTCAGGGGTGTATTTCAATGAGAGATACCTACAGCAGCACAGTGAAGTAACAGCAGCTGAGCAGCTGGATTTTAAGCTGTTTAGATTGGAACTACGACGAGGCAGAAAGTGGCTTTTTACTTAAATTTGAAAAAGACGCTGGTGAATAGGAGTACAAGATGTAGATATATTTCACAATATGCAGATCAGTCAACTGATGTTACCACCACCTGATGAGGAATGCATATGGTGTGAGAACACAGTCGTAGCTTAACCATGTTGTAATCACACTAAAGGGGAATTCCACCAATTATTCGGAATTTCAGGACCCCCATGGACCCGGACAGAGCAGATACTATTTGGGTGGTGGATCATTCTCAGCACTGCAGTAACACTGATGTACAGCCCTGCTGTGTCTGATCCACTCGTACCAGCACAACACACACTAACATCCCACCACCACGTCAGTGTTACTGCAGTGCTGAGAATGATCCACCACCCAAATAGTACCTGCTCTGTGAGGGTCCATGGGGGTCCTGACCACTAAAGAACAGGGTAAAAGGGGGCTAACAAAGTATGCAGAGAAACAGATAAACTACAGTCTGTAATTGTAGAACTACAAAGTGCACCTATATAGTAAGTGGAGCTGATAAAATGAGTGAGTGTAGAAACAGGGACATAATGTTATATATTATATATGGTACTATATATACATATAAGCATACATACACACACATATACATACACACTGTCCTAAAGAAAAACATCTCCCTTTTAATGTAAAGTTAATATAAAGAGATTTTATTTTTTATTTTAGAGCATTACTACTGGTCCATTCATCATAAACTTTTTCACACAGCTGGTGTGTTAAAATGACATAGAAAATTTAAATTTGACAAAATTATGATAGTAACGTCCCGCTACCAGCTACCATGTGTGTGTGTAGGTCAAACCATTATGTCAAAACTTTCTTTCAGACAGTGTACTCATAACCATTTCTATGTAATAACTCTCTGTGAGGGAGCTTTTAGAGGCATTGAACTCTTCTGACATCTGGTTCCTATCACCAACACTATGAACAATTCTGAGAAACTG